ATTTGTTTAAGTTTAAGTTTCATTTTCTATTGTTTACATTTTTTCTGTTTCTTGATGGCTGTTTTTCTTTTGTTTGCTCTCTCAGTTTCTTATTATTTTGTTGGCTTCTACTTTTTCATTTTTCATTAATTCCCTAATTCATCCATTAGTTTGCTTCTGTTTTCATTTGTTAATTTGTGTTTTTTCATTTAGTTTCTTTCTTTTGTCTGATTTGTTCTTTTACTCTGTTCCTTTAGTCTGTTTTTTCTTTCGTTTGTATCTTCATGGTTTCTTTTGTTGTTTCGCCGTCATTCTCTCTTTCTCAGAGGATATGATGCATTATTAATGATGTGCAATGCTTGAATAATCAGGCGTCATTGCTCACTGTGCTAAATGAACTGCATTGATTATATAGGCAGGTTTCTCCTCCTCCGCCGCGCGTCTGAATGCTGCTCAATGCGTCGGCACAAACACACAACCCAAAGCAACTTCAGCACACGATGACATGAAAAACATGCTATAAACTTCTTATACTGTTCATGCATCTGACTTCACACAGGTTTGCTAGAAATCAGTGCCAGTAACGAAAGACCATCAAACACTTAGTCTAGTTATTTGCACAGCTTCACTCTAGAACAAGAAACAGCGTCGTATTGTAGATTAAAAGGAGGTCGCTTTATCTTCCCGCTCGCCACGCTCTTGATGTATGAATAAATAACTGCGAGCTGGATGCTCGTAAATCACGCATTTTTTCCCCTTCTCTTGTCCGTTGGCCTGTCTTGCGATCAATCCCTGGCGAATGATAAATCAGAGGCTTTCACCGGCCGATGAAATATTTCCGAGCCGGCGCCGCATCGAAAGGCCGTCGTACATTACGGCCGCTTGGCCACAGGGGGTTGAAATGAAGTATTGACAATTTAATAAAGAATTTTTATTCCCGTCGATATTCCTCTGTGTGTGTGCGCGCGTTTGGAGGCGGTTTATGTGGAAATGGAGGAGAAGAGGAGAGAGACGGGGATGAACGGACACCACATGTTTCCATTTGAGAGGATATTTGCAAGAAATGCTGAAATATCAAGCGCATTGATTTTCAATACACTCTCGTGCCACAAATTCGGGCCCAATTTCTGCATTTTAAGTCAAGGTGGAATCAAGATGGACGGTGTTTGTGAACATTTCTGCTGTTCACTTTGTTAGTAAATGTTCATCTTTGTAATCTTTCATCAGAGCTGCTGCTGCGCTCTTGAAATTACTTTGGTTTTAGCTGACACATGGAAATAATGTTAGCCAAAAGCCAAATAGCTGTTTAGCATTGGCATTCGGCTCAGGCGCCGTTCTGGTATGATAATATCACTTTTTTTCATTGAATATCTGGTTTATTACTGAATGTCTGCTTTTTGGTTTGTTTTCCTTCGTTTGCTTGGTGTTCGTTCGTTTGTTTCGTTTCTTTCTTTTATTTGGCTGTTAGTTTTTTTTTTATCATTATATTCTTAATTTGTTTTTTTGTTTTCTTGACTGTTTTTCAGTTCTGTCTTTCATTCATCTTTTATCATTTTTTTGTTTTGGTTCTTTTAGGTCATTTTCTACATTTGTTTTGCTTTTTTATATATATTTGTTTTTCTGCTTTTGTTTGTGCTTTATTCATTTATTTTATTTTGTTTGTTTTCTTTAGTTTTGCTCTATCATTCATTCTTTGTTTCTTTTTTCCTTTTATTCTTTTCAGTTTTTTCTGTTTGTTTTAGTTTTTTCCTTTCTACTTCTGTTTTCCTTCTTTCTTTTCTCTATTTTTTCTTTTGTTTCTTTGAGCTCATTCCCTCTACTTTTGTTTCCATTAGTTCATATATTTTTTTAGTTTTTATTGTTTTAGTTCCTTCGTTCATTCTTTTGCTTGTACTCTTTCTTTTGTTGTTTATTTTCTATTTTCTTTATTTTATTCATTGTTTGTTTTGTTTGTTTCATTCATTCTTTTTTCTGTTTTTTGTTTATTTGTTTTAGTTTGTTTCTTTCTCTACGCGTGTTTTCATTCATTTATATGTTTGTTTGTTCTTTTTGTTTCTATTTCTTTTTGATTGTTTGTTCTTTCATTCTTCCGTTTGTGTCTTTTATTTTATTTATTTATTTTACTAGTTTGTTGCTTTGTTCTCCATTTCTGTTTGTTTATTCCATTTTTCTTTGTAGTTTTTTTTTTAATGAACTCTTATGCTTTTTCTTTGGAGGTTTTTATACTTTTCTACTATCTTTGTGATTATTTTGGATGTTTTATTGTAGTTCACACATTAATAAATGTTTGTATTTGTAATATTTTATTAAAAAAGACGTTCTTTAGCTGTTTAACATTAGCCTAATAGCTTTATAGCACTGAACTTCCATTCGGCCTTTGCTCCAGTGCCCTTTTCCTGATGGATAAAATCACTTTTCGTCATTGAGTATGGAAGTTCGTCATGCTACAAAGGTTGCAACTCAAGTTTCATGTTTCCTCGTTACGATTTGCAGAAGTGCGTCTACTGCCACAAGACGACCAAGCAGATCTTCGGCGCGTGTATCCAGTGCTCGTTGGACAACTGCTCCACGTCCTTCCACGTCACCTGCGCCCTCCTCGCCGGAGTCGTCATGAAGCCGGCCGATTGGCCGTATGTGGTGTCCGTCACTTGCCACAAACACAAACAGACCAATCAGAAGGTGCGTAGCTGCTATAGAAGGGATCTCAATGCACACAGTGATCCTCAAACTGACGCTTTGCCTCCACTGCAGGTCAAAAACAGCTCCCGCGAGCTGTCTTTAGGTCAGGAGGTCATCGGGAGGAGCAGCAACGGTTGGTTCTATCGCTGCACCATCACCGGCATCGGCACGCAGAACTACTACGAGGTCAACTTTGATGACGGCTCCTACTGTGATAATGTCTTCCCAGAGAACCTGCTGGTGAGAATGTTTTTTCATTATTATGGTGATCATGGTTGCCAAGTGGCTTTGGTCTGGAAGTCCATTTCCACGACTAAATAAAAATAAAAAAAGGTAATTGCAACTTTACATCTCACAATTCTGACTTCTTTCTTTCAGATTTGCAAGATATATAAACTTTTGTTTTTTAGTTTATATCACAACTCTGACTTAATTTCTCCGAATTGTGAGTATCTGCGCAATTCTGACTTTATAGCATGCATTCGTGAGTTTATATTTCACAATTCTGAGAAAAGTCAGGATTACGTGATATAAACTCGCAATTGCGAGAGAAAAAAAATCGAATCGCGATGGAAAAAGTCACATTTGTGATAAAAAGTAAGAATTGTGTGGAAAAGTCCAAATTGCATGATATAATAAGTCGCAATTGCACCCGGTCACAGTTCAAATAGACAGTCTATATCTGTACAGTTTCAGGTATTTTTATCTGTACTCAAGTGTTCGGGGGGGGGTGGGGGGGGAGGAAGAGTTTTAGCTGGGCTCATGGGATTTAACAAGTATTTAAATGTCTTTTGTCACATATAGGTTTAATATTTGTATAAAGAAAATCAATTATGGCAGCATCAGAAGCTACAGTTTTCAGTTAGTGTACACATTTGTGTTACGATAGATTCGCGCGTCTTCATGTATTCTTCTATAATCAAAGATAAAATGTTTTTTCAGACACCGATGATTTGTTTTTGTAGCATACTTGGTAGACGTTGATATTGAATACTATTCACCTTGTCTGTTTTTTTTTTTATGATTACCGTTGTTGTTATGATGGTTATTTTTAGTGATTTTTATTTTGGTGAATCTTTGCAACACAATGTCGGAAGATGGAAAAAAAGCTGAATTTATCATTTTTATTCAAGAGGTTGAAGTGGCGTACATTTAAGCGTATAGTCATAGGTGATATTAAACAGATACGCAATCTGCCTTCTCAAGGTGCTATAGAGGTCTTAGACTACTGAGAGGCGATCCGGGTCAAGTGACCCACAATGAGGTGTACATACTAGATGTCCTGCTCATGAATTGGAAAAATTTTCTTCAGTGTAACTTCTAGTCTTATCAAATGCCATGTCACATTCAAATAAAGGGTCTGGTTGTCGCTTTGTATTTCTTTTCTCCTTTTTGTTGTTTGCCCATCCTGGTTTCATTTTCTGATGTGAGCGATTATCGATCGGCACACCTCCTCCACCGATATTTGCGAGTTCATCATCCATATAGCATTGAGAATTTGCTTCAGCGCCCCTCTATTGATTTGGAAACAAACACTCTGATAAGACCTTTGCAGACAGGATCGTCATTCCGACTGAATCCAAAACGAACCCAGTACATAGCTTTGGGGGATGCCGCACTCTTCAGACCCTTTTCACAATCCCTTGCTCCCAATTCTTCGCTAAACCGAAAGAATGGCCACATATTTTTAGATGGAATAATCATTCATTTGAGCATGCCAAAGATTTTGGAGAATTGGTCAAAATGCAAGATAAATTAATGCAAGGAAAGTCCCCAGATGAAGTTATTAAAATATTAAATTGACAGCCCTTCATTTTCTATATATTCTCATACATCTTGATTTCTTTTTAAAATGTCATACTATTATTCCTCCCACTTTCATTTTGCATATTTTTTTTAATAATAACATCTGAATTACACCTTTACGTATGAAGTGCATACTGAGGTTTGAAACTCATGAGTGCTCTCCTTTCGTTCAATGTGACAACCACCATTCTCATCTCAACACTGTTTGTTGTTTTCCGCCCGCCAGTGACGCCTACGGCTGCTCTGACACTAGATGCAGTGTGTCGATGGCATTTGTACTCCTCTGTTTCTGGGGTTTCTGCTTTGCATTAACAGAAACGTCACAAGGGGCAGGTTTAATAAATTAACCCACCACAGCTTGCATACTTATGATGGCAAATGTTTATCTGTGCAGAAGTACTAGGAAAGATTGTAATAAAATGTGAAGTGAAACTGTGCTTTATGTTTTACTGTATTTATTTCACTGGGAAAGCAATGAAAAACCTGGTTTAAATAACACCAGTAAAAATAAATACATGTATGAATGAATATTAAGTAGGTAATTGTAGTAATAATTAATCAATAATCAAATATTTTTACATTTATAATATAAATCATTCATAAAAAGTTAAGAAACGCAGAGAAGTTTCAATGTTGAATTTATATACAGTGGGGAAAAGTATTTAGTCAGCCACCAATTGTGCAAGTTCTCCCACTTAAAAAGATGAGAGAGGCCTGTAATTTTCATCATAGGTATACCTCAACTATGAGAGACAAAATGAGGAAAAAAAATCCAGAAAATCACATTGTAGGATTTTTAAAGAATTAATTGGTAAATTCCTCGGTAAAATAAGTATTTGGTCACCTACAAACAAGCAAGATTTCTGGCTCTCACAGACCTGTAACTTCTTCTTTAAGAGGCTCCTCTGCCCTCCACTCGTTACCTGTATTAATGGCATCTGTTTGAACTCATTATCAGTATAAAAGACACCTGTCCAAAACCTCAAACAGTCACACTCCAAACTCCACCAAGGCCAAGACCAAAGAGCTGTCAAAGGACACCAGAAAAAAAAATTGTAGACCTGCACCAGGCTGGCAAGACTGAATCTGCAATAGGTAAGCAGCTTGGTGTGAAGAAATCAACTGTGGGAGCAATTATTAGAAAATGGAAGACATACAAGACCACTGATAATCTCCCTCGATCTGGGGCTCCACACAAGATCTCACCCCGTGGGGTCAAAATGATCACAAGAACTGTGAGCAAAAATCCCAGAACCACACGGGGGAACCTAGTGAATGACCTGCAGAGAGCTGGGACCAAAGTAACAAAGGCTACCATCAGTAACACACTGCGCCGCCAGGGACTCAAATCCAGACGTGTCCCCCTGCTTAAGCCAGTACATGTCCAGGCCCGTCTGAAGTTTGCTAGAGAGCATTTGGATGATCCAGAAGAGGATTGGGAGAATGTCATATGGTCAGATGAAACCAAAATAGAACTTTTTGGTAAAAACTCAACTTGTCATGTTTGGAGGAGAAAGAATGCTGAGTTGCATCCAAAGAACACCATACCTACTGTGAAGCATGGGGGTGGAAACATCATGCTTTGGGGCTGTTTTTCTGCAAAGGGACCAGGACAACTGATCCGTGTAAACGAAAGAATGAATGGGGCCATGTATCATGAGTGACAGCTCTTTGGTCTTGGCCATGGTGGAGTTTGGAGTGTGACTGTTTGAGGTTGTGGACAGGTGTCTTTTATACTGATAACAAGTTCAAACAGATGCCATTAATACAGGTAACGAGTGGAGAACAGAGGAGCCTCTTAAAGAAGTTGTTACAGGTCTGTGAGAGCCAGAAATCTTGCTTGTTTGTAGGTGACCAAATACTTATTTTACCGAGGAATTTACCAATTAATTCTTTAAGAATCCTACAATGTGATTTTCTGGATTTTTTTTTTTCTCATTTTGTCTCTCATAGTTGAGGTATACCTATGATGAAAATTACAGGCCTCTCTCATCTTTTTAAGTGGGAGAACTTGCACAATTGGTGGCTGACTAAATACTTTTTTGCCCCACTGTATTTTTCTAAAAAATATTTCATTGGCTAGGTTTTGTTCTTGTATGCAGGTTTTGTATGTCGTGATTTCCAATTTGTGAGCAAATTATTTTTTTTAAATAGGTTTTTGTAATGAATCACATGACCCAGTTTACAAATTAGTTACTTTCCCCAAATTCAGTCTAAATGCTTCTTCAAATCGGTGTTAATTACGTTGACGAATAATTTTCGTCATAATTTTCGTCAACGACATTTTTTTCACCAACGAGACGATAACGAACTAAAACTCTTTTTGAATGACAATAACTATGACGTAAATCTATTGATATTTTCGTCAAAGAATAAAAACGAGACGAAAATGTTAGGGAGGGACGATTTGGGAAGAGATTCATTCAGAACGAATCTGCTGCGTGGTTCCAATCTCCGTGGTGCGGAGGTTAGATGCGTACATATGAACCGGCGGGACATGAGCTAACATACACTTGCAGCACATCGCATAAAACGTTCAAAAATGTCAATATGTGGGAGTAAGAGAAGAGCAGACATATGGATAAATCTGACGACGCAAGAGAGAACATGTATCAGTACATTGCATCTGTGCATCCGGATGACAGCAGCTTAATTTAGTTGCTACTGTCCGAGTCATTGATGTTAATCAAGCAACAAAAGAAAGACAGAAAATTACGCACTGCTCTTGACTGAAAAACTTTAGTAGCCCTAAAGATTAATCTAAATTTATTTATAGAAATAAATGTCTGCTTGAAAGAATGAAGAATATGGTAAACAAGTTGCTATAAAGAATGCATAATTAGCCTATATAACCATTGGTATTTCATTAAAAAGAATACTATGTTCTTGTTCTTTATGAGAAGTGGTTTTATTTATGCTCTACATGAAGGCATGTTGCGTGTCACCGCAGTTAAATCGGTGTCTATCATGCTAAAAACTTAATATTAAACCTATATAATGAGTTTGGAAATTTTAGAGAAATGCTTCATAAATGCACTGTAACTAAACCCATTCTATTTTAGCCGACTAAATTTACTGTAGATTTAGTTTGACTAAAACTAAAAACAATTCAAGATGACTAAAATATGACTAAAACTAAATGGCATTATAGTCAAAAGACTATGACTAAAACTAAATCAAAATCTGCTGTCAAAATTAACACGGCTTCAAATCCTTATCCATTAATCACAAACGTTTGTAAAGGTCATGAAAATCAATTGGCCTATAATGAGCTTTGGCTCTTGAAAATGTGGTGTTTTTATAAATTGCTTTCTGGAAAGTAGTTTTCTAAAGTTCAGAGGTCAGTAAATTGCTGTTTATTCATTTCTAACCATCACAAAAGAAAAGATTAAAAGCTTTTCTTGAGACCAGAGCCATTAAAAATAAACCATTATGAAAAAATACCATGAATCATCCGAGGCAAAAAGATTAATCTGGTTTAGAGTTGTTCTGTCAAATCGAAGCCTCATTGACAT